ATAATTATATAATATATAAAAATTAAATATAAGGTGTTTCTTTGTTATGACTGGTGATAAATCATTGATGTTTGTAAAAACGACCGGTCGGAATTCATACTGATAGCCATTTTTTAAAACATCAAAAATGGGTTATCCTTTATTCAGAACTCGAATAAATAGATATTTGATGTTGATAAATATTTATTTACTTAGATATTTTTTAATTTTGTACATATTTGTAGACATTATTCTATGTCCATAAAGCATCATTACAATTAATTTAATCAAATTCTTTGATCTCGTCATTGCTTGACTTGAACGCATTTAGTAATAATATGTTAATTCATGTAAAACTTATACTAAGTAAACCATTCATTCAATATGATTCAAATGATTAAAATGAAATTGAAAAATTTTAAAAATTATATTTTCAGCAAATGAAATTAAATATCATATTGTAATCAAAGAAAAGTACCAATACTGGTAATAATAAACACTTCTATCTATCTATATTCAAGTTGTTTGTAAAAGTCATGAAAGATAAATAATATGCTTTGAAGGAAGAATTTCAAATTAAGTAAAGTTCTACACTTCATAATGTCTTCATTGAATTTAAATTTAAAAGATTTTTATAAACAATATTTCCAATTAAATAATAATTAGATATAATCAGGTAGTAGGTATTATTACGTATGGTGAATGTTTCAAATTTCAAACAAATGCTTTTATTTAGTCGAGGATTATTAAAAAACATCATCAAATTAGGTATTTAGGTACTCCTGCTTCCGATAAAAAAATATAAAAATACTTTTAAATCACAAAAATTTATATTTACTGATTGCTAGTCTGAATCTGCTAAATTTACAATTCGATAATTACCTAATATTTTTCTTTTGGAAATATTGAAAACTTATTCGTCACGCTTTTACACATACCTAATAAAACTTTTTTCTTACAATTTTAAAGAGCATGTACGAGATACTTTATTATTTACTCACGAATAAATTTCAGTTGATATTGAATAGGTTAAAGTATTTTTTAATGCTAATTGAAAAATGGAAAATAAAATCTCTTTTAAATATCTTAAACGTCTTGCAATTTTTTGATCACATCTTATATTTTCGTACATTTCCTCTCATTTTAAAAATGAGAAAAAGCCAAATTTCCAAATAGAGATAATAAGCAGCTTTTTTCTGTTCTAACATTTGACGTTAAACTAGAAATTTGATATCGTTTCTTTTTTTAATTTTTAACTAGATTTTCTCTTTTATTTTTAACATTCAAAATTTATCAACGATTTGGCAAAATAAGGATGTTCTACATAGCAAATGCTGATACCATCATATTTATGTTTTTTTTTCTCAAATAAGGTGGCAAGAATAAATAATTATAAACGAGGGACGAAATCTCTCCTAATTTTTTTTGTAAAAATGTTCTTTGGCAACTTTGATCCCATATAAAAATAAACATATTTTTATATGGGATCAAAGTTGCCAAAGAACATTCTTCCTCAACGAGCACAAAATTTTTACGAGAGATTTGTTTATTTATAATTAGATATACGTGCCACTTTACCTGATAACTATATAGGAATTTTTTTAAATATTTATTTTAACATACTTACAGATCTATTGAATGTGCTTAGCAACATTGTGTACAGGACAATTTGATTCAATAAATGTATATAAAGTGACCAGAAATCGTAAATCGAATCTCATTTTCGTGTATAAAATTTTTCCTACGATTTTCTTTGAAATCAAAATATTAAGAGTTGAACCCATTATATTGCATTTTTATTATAATTAGTTACAGTTTAATAATCATCGATGTCGAACATTGCAAGTGTCACTTCTTGATACTAAAGTTATCCTTTCACAACGTTAGAAGGACACTTGATTGACAATATTTAGCAGATTTGCATTTATATTTTTGAGATGAAAAATTAATATACGATATATCATAATTCATTAATAACGATTTCCGCTTTTCTTTTTGCCATTTTCTGTTTATATTTTTTGTATACTTGTCTTAATTTGTAAATGATTAAGAACAAATATTAGATTTTTTAACCTCATTAGAAGGTTAAAGTTCAATTCATAATTTTTAGGTTCCGCATAAAATCGTAGGAAAAATTTATAAACTAAAATATGAATTGTGATCCGTTATATGCGACGTCCAGTCACTTTCGTACATATTAATAAAAGTTATGTACGCTTTTAGTATTATTACTATTATGATAATCAATATTCGAGTAATAATTAATATTTTAAGAGAGCAATTTGTAGAGAATCGGAATGAAAGAAAGTTTTTTTTATTATACCTAAGTGTATAAAGTGAGTTTTAGAAAGATTTTGGAAAACACAAAATATTTGTTCTGATTCGAAATTCCTTTTAATTTTTCTGATTAATTTTAATTCGTATTTTGTTATTTATTCTGTGACTATTGTTGCTGCTACGGTCAGTTGAACTTTCATTGTATGTTGGAGATGATTGATTTATAATAGATTGTGAATTTTGACTATCATAACGATTAATTGAGGTATGATAGCCATCACTTTTTTCAGAGTTTTCCGGCGAACTTACCGAAGATTTTTTTCTCAATGAATTGTTATTATTTCCGTTACGATTTGGTCGCGGTATTTTCGATTTATGACGTAAATAATTTGATGATGATGATGGAAGTACTGGTAATGGTACAGAAGGGTAAATGGAAGCTGACTGTGGTGCATCCAAATCGTTTGAGAGTAAAGGCATCGTTTCATTAATTGGAGTGTTTAAAATTGACTTATTTGTAGGAGGACTGTTTGATGAATTCTCATCATCATCATCAGCTTCCGTTCCCGAAATGTGTGATCGATATTTGTGAGTTACAGTTGAACTACTCTTCTTTGATATCCGATGGTGACGAATTTCATCGTCATCAATCTCATCATCTGAATTGAAAAATCTATCATAGGATTTAATTGAATTATCATTTGTTTCCATTGGTCGACCATCGATTTCATCGTCATACAGAAATGTGTTATCCTTTCGTCGTTCTTTTAACAGATCATAATCAAATGGGCTGTTTTCACTACTACTGTGTTTTCTTTCGCTTCGTCTGATGTTGTAACTGTGCGAGGATGATTTTTTAATCATAAGCTGATGTTTGATTTTTGAATTTTCAAATTCATCACGATTGTCCAAATGCATGTAGTTGTAGCAAATGTTATAATCGCTCTTCGGTTTTGCACTGGATGGATGATAAAGCCTTGAATTATTGTCTTGAGACGTTTCGTGAATATACAACAATGAATTGCTGTCCGATTTTTTAGCAAGCTCTTCAAAAGACGTCATCCGTTTAAGAGAGCAATTACTATTATTGTTGTTATTATTATAAAATTGATGAATTTTATTGCTTGCCTGCACTGAATAATTGATTGAATTTTCTTCGTTGATATTCTCCTGTGAACGACGCATCTTTATGTGATCACATTCAATAATCATTTCATTTAGGAGAGGGGAAGGAGTTTTCCGGCTCATTGAGCCTCGCCTTGATGAAGAAGATTGATAAAGTGTTTGATTAGGATTTGGATAATAATAATATTGCTGTGGTTGAATCTTGTTAGCACCATGAGACAATTGGTCATTTTTGAAAGGCGGTGACTTCTGTTGTTGTGGCGATTGTGAAGACGATTTTCCTGGTGTTTCAAATGATGACAAATCACATTCGAATGGTAATGTTTCATATTCAACATGAATGATGGAACTTCGATTTGAACAATGACTAACATTGTCTTCACAACGATCGCGTTCAAAATTTGATTTCGTAGAACTTAGCATGTCGTCAGCAGGTGGCACGTAAATTCTTACAATATCCTGCGACTTTGCTGCATGAATAGCTGTAGAATTTTCATTACGTTTCGAATCACTTGTTGGCATTGAAGACATTTGAGCTTTTTGGAATATCTGAATAGTTGAAGAGCTTTTTGCCATCGAGCTTTTTGTTAAAAAAAAAATAACAAAATTTGTCTCTATTATTTAGTTATAATTTCATTCGCTTTTAGCTTTCCCAATTATTTGAAATGAAAAGAAAAAAGATAAATAAAAAAAATGAAAAACTTACTTCGAACTACTTTCACCATTCTCCGCATCATCATCACAAACCGTATTATTTAAATCAATGTCACTACTGTAATTGAGATGATGTGCTTTTAAGCTATTGTCGGGAATGTTTTCATTTTTTTGCTGTAACACTGAACGTTTTTCGCCACCTGAGAAAACACTCAAATCCGCTGTTGATGTTACAGATGTATCAGCGAGGGAACGTTTTGAACTTCCTAGTAAAGAGCCTCCATCTTCAGATTCTGGTCTTTGGACTAAAAAGCATATAAAAGATTTATTTAAAATACATTGAAAAGGAATCTATAAAATATATATCTAAAACAAAGCAGAATTTTTTTTTCTATTAATAATGGAAAAAAAAGAGATAAGATTCATTTTGTACACATTACTTTTCAACAGTAATCATTAAAAATTTCATCTCATTCCTTTGAATCTTTTTATTGGAAAGATAGAGAAAAAAAAATGAGCCAAGCGATAAGAATTAATGTACGTATTATTTTATCAATCAATGTAGATATGTATCACTTAAAAAGAATGAAAAGTTACTTTTGACTTTCTCATCATCACACACAAACTCTTGGCAGAACTGAATGTAAAAAGAACGAGAAAAAAGTCACAAAATTGTGTTAACAATGTTGAACTAAAAAGTTTTCAAAAACTAAATAACATTTACATCATTCAACCAAATTATACTCAATAGAAGAAAGATGCTTAAAATTTTAATATTTATAATCATAACCGGGTTATTATTACCTGTATTCAATTGACTGTTCGAATTGCATATTCCCACTTCGATAGATTTTGCATCATTTTCTAAATCTGCTGTGACTTGTTCTCGACTATTAAATGAAAATTTTCTGTTATTTCATATAAAAAAATGTTGAATAGGAATAAAATTTCTTACGATTTAATCACATTTTCGGTCACTTCCTTTTCAATTTCTGTAAAATCAGACTTTCGGTGGCCAATCTTTTCATCTTTTGTTGGTTCTACGATAATTCCAAAAGGTTTTTGAGGAAATTCATTCTCAGGTGGTGGCGGAGGTAGTTCCATTTTAGCTTTTCTTAATTCTTCTGAACATTGTTCTAAAGATTTAATAACGAAATCATCGTCATAACCGAAATCTTTAGCTAATTTCACTTGGAGATAGTGAACGATAGAATCCATGTCCTTTAGTTTCATCAGCTTATATTTATGGATTTTCAATACAGCGTAAGCCATTGCTGTAACAGCTTTCTCTCCTTCCAATAAATAAATATCCCAAATTCTCAAACATAAGCTAAATGGTACCTGAAATTAAACGATTGATAGATATATAAGAATAAAGTGTTGCTTCTTGGACACAACACAAGAACAACATTTTACAAAATATTTCAACTTACTCGCTCGATGAAAATAACAAAAAACCATTTCAATGAGTATAGAATGCTATCAAGATTACACTGATCAAAGTGCTTTTTTAATTTAGGCAGGAATCTTGCTAGAATTGCATCATGATGTGCAAGAAATCTTGTGAGTTTAGGAAATCCTAAAATGAAGAGACCGTGCATTGCAAACTGAAAAAGTAATGTAAGAATATAATTTGAAATATAATTTTTAACTATTAGATAATTAATTCATTAAAGTAATATTGATTTTCTTACTTTTCTATCAGTCAAAAGGATATTAAGAGCCCAAAATGTCTCTTCTTCTCCCAAATACATAAGCAGCATGCCCGCTAGAGTACTCATTCCTTGACAGTACCCAACTTCACTGTTATAAACGCTATAGGCAACTAACACATTAAATAATTGCTGTTGTTTCAAGTTATAACGTTCACGAAAGAAAATATTCTCCCGAAACTGACGATTAACGTCCGAATCGATTTGTCTAGCTTCAGTTCCATGAAGTCTTGCCAGTTTCAACATCATTTGATATTTATTTAAATTTGTTTTATCACTCATTACAGTACGAAGGTTCAATAGTTCTGACCACACAACGTTGCGCACTTTATCAGGAATCCCTTTATAAATTCGTTTTGCTAATTTCTCTTTTGTTGACTTTGACTCCCATCTACTGAGCATTTTGATCCATTTTTTTTCACGTTGCACTAAAACTTCTAATCTTTTTTCAATCGTCTTTTTATCATCTTGGGGTGATGGAAATTTTTGATCATGAACAAATCCATACCTAAGAGCATTCATAAAAATGTCAATAATTTATGTAGTGAATGACGATGTAGAATTCAATGTTTTTGGAAGAAGTGAGCAAGCTTAACTAAATGGTCCAATGAATGCACAAGAAAATCAAAGATAATTTTACAACTCACCGATCAACCATTGTGTAAACATTAAATTCAGGATCTTCCCAAGGATCAACCGGTGCTTTTCTTCCAAGCTCATATCGTTCAAATATTTTCTGCCTTTCCTCGTTTGCTCTATTTATCAAATCTGAATCCATTTTGGATTTTCTCTTTCAATAATTTTACAATAGTTGAATTCAAAAGCTGACCGATGAAAACAATAAAGCGATCTCACGTTAAAAGAGAATCACTGTAATTATGCGCATCTTTTGTATTCAATTTTTATTGATTTCATGTTGAACCATTATGAGAAAATGAGAACAGTTAGTTTAATACTTTCGCAGTTTAGCTTCCTTAATGGAAAATTTACCATTAAAGTTTGACGCAATCTTAGTTATAGTTTTCTTTGCACATTACCAAAGAAGTATTTTAATCTACGGCGTGTATATTTATTTGAAATAAATTGGGAATCACTCGCGATGAATGTAAAGAAATTTAATTATTTTTTAAAAGATAAATTGTCTGAACTGCTCTACAGATGTGTTTGTTCAGCAACAATGAGAATATTCAGAAATTTTGTAATTTAATGTGGAATTTGAATTTGTAAAATCCGTTAAATCAAATCATCGTTCCACAGGGCATCAAAAATATTTAGTTACAGTAAATAAAAATTAATTATTTTTGTGTCTTGCCAAGAAATTAGGTTTTCTCAATTTCTCAAATCAAAAGAAAATCTCAAAATAAGCCAAAAAATAACAAATTAAACATATGTAGAGATTTTTTCAAAGCGTTAGAATTTGTAGAGCTTTATGCATTCGGATAAGACTTAAAATATTACTCATTCGATCACTTACAAAAACAAATAGGTTTGAAATGTTCAATAATTTGAAAAATAAAATAAAAACAGAAACTGGACAGGATCCAACACATAGATTGCCTCGGCATTCTACATCAAACCGAAATTCATTATCAATCGATGAGCTGTCGCGTATTGAAGAAGTATTGCATTGTATTTTACAAAACAACCTATCAATGTCTTTATTGAATATTTTTTTCAGAAAGATGCTGAAATAGTTTCACTGAAAGAGGAGCTTATAAAGGCAAGATCTATAATAGTTAATCTGGAAAGTGAGAAAAAATCACTTGAGGATTCAAAGAAAGCTAATCAAATACAAAAGGAAATATTTTATGACGAAACTGATAAAATACAAGATATTCAACATCAAGAAATTCTTAAGCTTAAATCTTTGTTGTTATTTAGGGAGCAGGTGATTATTTTTTTTTCTTTTTATAAAGATGAAAAAGTTCCTAATGTTCAATTCTTAAAGGAATCACTCGACTATCTGAATAAAGCAAAGAATGACAACGCACAAATACAAAGCTTAAAAAGTGAAATTCAACATTTATCTCGAATAGAATCGTCTTATGAAAATATCAAAGTAAGTGAAGTTTGCATGCAAAAAGCTCCGTTGTTCACAACTTTAGAAAATTTAAAATAATAGTGTTTAAATCAGACTTTTTTCTCTTTATTTCTACACTTTTCATTTGCAAGTACCATTTAAAATACATGCAAACAATTATCAATGAACAAATCGTTTAAATGCTACGTTAAATTTTTGCTATACCATTTCATATATTCTGGTCATGCTATTCATCACATTTTAAATTCGTTAGAATTATTAATGTCATAAAAAATCTATTTTGCATTTTGTTAACTGTTCCCTTTAAAGGATGAGTTAGAACATCTTCGTCGAACATCTCAGATGGAAAAAAATCAATTGACAACACAATTATCGGCTAAAAAAGAAGAAATTCGGCAATTAGCAAATAAACTTGAAATATCAGAGCAATCAAGAGCTCTTTTTTCCTCAGCAGATTCTGAAAATGACACAATCAAACTTTTACTACAGGAAAGGAATTTTTTAGAGAATCGCCTTGAAGAAGCCAACGTTCAACTAATTGATATTAAAACTTCTTGGGCGAATCAAAACATGAGTCTTGAAGATCAATTACAGAGATTATCGAGACAAGTTGCAGAAGAAACAGCTGAAAAAAGAAAAGCTTACGAATTAAAGGAAAAAATGATAGAAAAAATCGAACAATTGGAATTTGATCTCATGAAAACGAAGGATGAATTAAAACTACGAGACAATAAGGTAAGTATTATAATAAACATAATCAACATTAATGTTTACTAAAAAATAATAATGGCTTGAATAGATTAAACTTCTTAATGAAGAAATCGTCGAGCTCAACTCATCTTTACACGATCTACGTCTGGAAAACGAGGAAGAAATAGAGTTTTTGCGATACAAATTTGTAAGTACAGCTCAAGTTAAAAGTTGATGGCCATGCATGACAAGTTGTATCTATGGTGTCTTTACTTTTTTAACAAATAATTAATTTACATTCTTTTAACATTGGTGATTTATGGGTTAAATTTAGTGTTTTTCTTATCGGGTAATTGTCGAATACAGTCTTTTCTCCAAACTCGTCTGGTTTTTGGTTTTCAATATCTTTTTGAATTAACAAAAAATTCAGGAAGTGTTAAAAAATTCAAGAAGTGTCTGACTACCTTCTTTTAAAGAATCATCTATAATATTAATTCTTTTAAGTACGGGTTTTTTGAAAACTCTCGCTTACTTTTGATAATAACTTTAAAAGTTTCCATTTTTGCGCTTAGATAAGCGTTTCAAATTGTAAAATAGTTATACATATTAAATGAAACAATAAAATTGTTTTAACAACTTTGATTACAATTATTCTTTTTTTTATTATTTTTAATACACACATGTGTGTATTTGAGCAATTGTGAAGAGATTCAACCTATAGTTTATAAGTTCGTCAATGTTCACCAGCTTCATTCCTTTCTTCATAAAAAAGCTTTCCCGTGCATCAAGATGTTTTTTACTTCCTTTTATGATCATTGATCGTGATACCCTTTAGCTATTTCATGATGTTCTTTACATCTTTTTCCTTCAAGCTCTTTTTATGTTTTTTAAATATCTCTTCAAATCTTCTCGAAGTTTGTCGAGAAATAAAAAAAAAGTTGGATCGCTCATCTCTATATATGTACATACATACAACATATTCATAAAATAAGACATTTTTGGTTTTTCTAGGCAAACCAGGAGAGTGAATCAAAGTTTTCTAAAGAAAATATAGAAGTAGCAGAAACAAAAGAACTTGAAGCCGAAGAAAGATTTCAAAGAAGCGAGAATAACGAAATCAAGGTCATTCGTGCTAGGTAACCTTGTGATGTTTTAGATGGTACCTTGGAAATTTTTTTTGACATGCTTAATTTTTTACAGTGAACTTCAAGAAAAGAAAATAATTCATAAATGTTTTTTCGAAGACCGAAAAGAATGTCAAGATCAAATCAAACGATTTGATTTAAAATTTAAAGAAATGAACGAATATCTCAATGAAAAATTGATGAAAATTCAAGAAAAAGAAAAAATTATAGAAGACTTACATAAAACTATTGATAAATATGAAAGTGATATAAATGATCAAACAAGGGTAATATAAGACAATTTTCTGTATTATTCAAAGAAATATTTTTACAAATATTTTTATTGTAGGCCATAAAAATTCTAAATCAACGGCTATTCGATGTTAAGAAAACACTTCAAGAAGAAATAAGGAACAAGAATAATGGGCCGAGTGGATCAATTTCTAGCAATGCACCAGCAATTCTCGTACCAATTAATGTTGACAATAATATATCTTATCACAACATAGGCGTTTCCGGCAAAATATATGAGATGGACGAAGTGAAATTTTCATATCTCAAGCACGTTATTTTGAAATTTTTAACATCAAGAGATCTCGAAGCAAGACATTTAATAAGAGCTATAAGTACATTACTTTGTCTCGACGATTCTGAAGAAAAACTTCTGGCCGAAACTTTAGAATACAAAAGAGGTTGGTTCGGAATAAGAACCGATAGCTCATTCCGTTAACTTAGTCATAGTTTTTATCATTTCCATCAATATTTTTTCAAATATGCAATTTGAGCTTAAGGATTATTGAGAGATATTCTCAATATGAAACCAAATTTGCTTTCTCGTTTTTAGCTTATTTGTTTAAAATATATCAATTATTCTATATAAGTATACAACTTAACCATTCTATATAGAGTGTATAATGACATAACATATAGCTGATATCTAATTTTATTTCTGTCTTCTACACACACGCTTTTTTTATTCTAATTTTGGTAAAAGCAAATTGTCTATTAAATTTTCTGTCTTATTTTGATTTCTTTTTACGTCATAAAGATCTCATCTCATACAACTGCCTGAGGCGAAGATTTTTCGTTCTAAATATGAAAGTTAATTTTTACGTTTTTTTTTAATCAAATTAAATTGCGACGTTAAATAGGGAAATGCAAAAAAGGGCCGCTTATACATAAGTTGCTTAACTCTGATTTAAAAAAGGAAACTGGAAAAAATGTTTGTTTAAAATTTTTTTCTTTATACTTATGTAAATATGAAATAATCCAGACATCATGTTTATGAATCAAAAAGCATCAAATGAGAGTTGAATCACTTTGAATATAAGAATTTAAGTTTCTTTTTTTTCATAAGATTCAATGTCATAAAAATTAAAATTCATATTTAAATGTATAGGTAGTTAATATTAATATATAATATTAAAAATATCCTTTATTAACGTTGCATTTCATTAACCAAATTTTAAGTAAAAACAATATCAATATCTATAAATCATTTTGAATAAAAAGTGGATAAGATAAGATCAAAGGGTTTCACCAGAGAGAAAAGAAAGTTATCTACATTAGATATTATACCTAATTTATTTTTAAAAGCATAAAAGCTACCATCAAAGATTAAACGTTAAAGAAGTTGAGGATGAATTAAAACAAACAAATGAGTCAATAAAGAACTAGAAACGCACTTCTTGATTGAGAATTTTTTCATAAATCTCAGGTGTTAACAATTCGTATTCGCTATTTTTAGCATTGAGAAAATATAGTTTATCATTGACTACATTGGGATTAAATCCTTCCTTTTGAAGATCTAACTTCTTAAGCTTACATGTTCCTGTCATGTCAATTTTCTCAAGAATTCTCAATAACTGTGGGCGTGCATAACTTGGCAAAGCTTTGCGTAAGTTCTCGCTCAATGTTTTCAAGTGTAAATTCTTTTCAGGGTCAGATATTGCTGCCATCCCAGCTCGTCCTTCCATATTTACTATTTCCACCCCATAAACAACACAATCACGGTAACCAGCTTCGTTGCTTACTTGTGCTTCTATTTCACTTGTGCTGCAATTTTCTCCCTTCCATCGGAATGTATCACCAGTTCGATCAACGAAAAACAAATTGCCACGTTCATCAGCTGTCAAAATATCACCAGATATGAAAGCTGAATCTCCCTTTTTAAAAACATCATAAACAATTTTCTTATTTGAAGCACTTTTATCAACATATCCGAGAAAAGCTCGAGATGGATTGTTTGGAATTATTTTACCTTTAAAACCAAAATAATCGTATTTAGAAAAATCGAATTTAAAGATTAAAAAGTAAATTCAATTCACCTATGAACACTCCAGGTTCATTCGGTTCACAAAGCTGACATAGACCATTACGGTCACGAATTGGTTCACCAGTGTCAGGGTTACATTTGATGATAGAAATCGGATAAACTGCTGGAATGATTCTTGAAACAAAACCAATTGCACCTACAACATTGTCTACATTGACAATGTTTGCATTGCCTTCAGTTGCACCATAAAACTCACAGACACGAGGAATGTTGAAGCGCTTAACAAACTGTGGCCAAATTTGTGGCCGCAATCCATTTCCAAATACCATTCGAAGGTTATGAGTTGTGTCAGTTTGTTGGCCAGGTGTTGATAGACAATAGCGGCACATTTCTCCAATATATTGTGCAATCTAACATTTAAAATTTAATAAAAATGATATAGTTGTTAAATGTAAAGTATGTATGTAGGTATATATGTAATTACCGTTGCATTATATTTTACACAATCGGAAAAGAAAGCTGAAGCGGAAAACTTCTT